AAATAAGTGGATATAGAGTTCAAAACCACGATTATAAGGTTTTTCAAGAATTTTCTAGAAAAGGCTGATAAATTTAGTGAGACCCTTGAGGATATGAAAAAGGACCAACTAGAAATTAAACATACAGTGACTGAAATAAAAAATAATTTACAGAGATCCAAGAGCAGACTAGATGATCCTAAGAATCAAGTCAAAGATTTGAAATACAAAGAAGCAAGAAAACACCCAACCAAAGAAGCAAAAAGAAAAAAGAATCCAAAAACATGAAGATAATGTAGAGCCTCTGGGACAACTTCAAGCATACCAACATCAGAATTATGGAGGGTGCCAGAAGAGAGAGAGCAAGACACTGAAAACCTATTTGAAGAAATAATGACTGAAAACTTCCCCCACCTGGTGAAAGAAGACTTACTAGTCCAGGAAGCTCACAGAACCCCAAACAAAAGGACCATACCAAGACACATCATAATTAAATGCCAAGAGCAAAAGACAAAGAGAGAATATTAAAAGCAGCAAAAGAGCCAAAACCAGTTTGGCTCAGTTGTAGAGCGTTGGTCTGCGGACTGAGGGGTCCCAGGTTCGATTCTGGTCAAGGGCATGTACGTTGGTTGTGGGCACATCCCCAGTTGGGGGTGTGCAAGAGGCAGCTGGTCGATGTTTCTCTCTCATTGACGTTTCTGGCTCTCTATCTCTGTCCCTTCCTCTCTGTAAAAAAAAAATCAATAAAATATATTAAAAGCAGCAAAAGAAAAACAGTTACCTACAAGGGAGCACCCATACTGAATTCAACTGAATTCTCAACAGAAACTATGCAGGCCAGATGGGAGTGGCAAGAAATATTCAAAGTGATGAATAGCAAGAATATACAACCAAGATTACTCTACCCAGCAATGCTATCATTCAGAATTTATAAGATCAGATAAAGGGATTCGCAGAGAAGAAAAAGCTAAAGGAGATTATCACCACCAAACCAATATTATATGAAGTGCTGAAAGGTATTCTTTAAGAAGAGGAAATAGGTAAAGATAAAAATTATGGCCGAGACCGGTTTGGCTCAATGGTTGCGGGCATATCCCCAGTAGAGGGTGTGCAAGAGGCAACTGATCGATGACTCTCTCTCATCAATGTTTCTAACTCTCTATCTCTCTCCCTTCCTCTCTGTACAAAATCAATAAAAATATATTTTAAAAAATTATGAACAACAAATACGTACCTATCAAGTGAAATTAAAAATCAAGTGAATAAAAAATCTGATAAACAGAATAATCTGGTGAATATAATAAATCATGAGCATAGAAAGGGAGTGGAATGACAATCCTCAGGGGGAAAGGAATATGGGGGGTACAAGAAGAGACTGGACAAAAATCATATACCTATGAATGAGGACAGTCAGGAGATGAGGACATGGGATGGGTGGGAACTGGGTGGAGGGGCGTTAAGGGGTGGGGGAGAGCCGGGACCGGTTTGGCTCAATGGATAGAGCGTCGGCTTGGGGACTGAAGGGTCCCGGGTTCGATTCCGGTCAAGGGCATGTACCTTGGTTGCGGGCATATCCCCAGTAGGGGGTGTGCAAGAGGCAGCTGATCGATGACTCTCTCTCACCGATGTTTCTAACTCTCTATCTCTCCCTTCCTCTCTGTATAAAATCAATAAAATATATTTAAAAAAAAAAAAAAAAAAAGGGTGGGGGAGAAATGTGGAACAACTGTAACAATCTGAACAATAAAGTTTAATTTAAAAAACAAAGAATCTCTGACCATAATGCTATGAAACTTGAAATCATTCACAAGAAGGAAACTGAAAAACAAAGATATGGAGACTAAATTACATATCACTAAACAATTAATGGCTTAACAATAGATCAAGGAAAAAAATCAAAAGATACCTTGAAACAAATGAAATGAGAACACAACAACCCAAAATCTGTGGGTCATAGGGGAAACAGTCCTAAAAGAGAAATTCATAGTATTACAGGCCAATCTCAAGAAACAAGAAAAAGTGCAAATAAACAATTTAATTTTACACTTAAAGGAACCTGGGGGGAGAGGGGGGCGGGGAAATAGCCCAGAGTAGAAGGAAGAAAATAATAAATATCAGAGTAAAAATGAAATAGCAGTAAGATCAATGAAAGCAAGAGCTGGTTCTTTAAAAGATAAACAAGATTGCCGAAACTGATTTGGCTCAGTGGATAGAGCATCAGCCTGGGGACTGAGAGGTCCCAGGTTCGATTCCGGTCAAGGGAATGTACCTTGGTTGTGGGCACATCTCCAGTAGAGGGGTGTGCAAGAGGCAGCTGATCGATGACTCTCTCTCATCTATGTTTCTAACTCTCTATCCCTCTCTCTTCCTTTCTGTAAAAAATCAATAGAACATATATATTTTTTTTTAAAAGATAAACAAGATTGACGAACCTTTAACAAGACTCATCAAGTAAAAAATAGAGAAGACTCAAATAAATAAAATCAGAAATGCAAGTAACAACTGACACCACAGAAATACAAAGAATTCTAAAAACCTACCAACAAATTGGAAATCTGGAAGATATGGATAGATTTCTAGAAACATATAATTTTCCAAAACTAAATCAGGAAGAACCAGGGAATGTGATTAGATCACTATTAATGAAATTGAAGCTGTGGTTGGGTGGGGGGTTAAAGGGATTGAGAAAAAAAAAGAACTTATGGACAGGGACAACAGTGTGGTAATTACAGAAGGGGGGGGGGGGATAAATGGTGATGAAATATAAATGAAAACATAAAATGTAAAACAAAACAGACTAAAAACACAAGTTAGATGATGGTTACTATAGCTTTCACCTGAATTATTCATTAAGCTTTTCAATTATTCTGTGTGGCTCTATAATGTAATGTGCTTTATTTTACAATAAAGGTATTTAAAAAAAAATCACCATACAGTTAAAAGACAAACTAGGAAAATCACTCATATTGTGAGCAAATGACCAATTTTCCCCAAGCATAAAAATTAGCTCCTTTGAGCAGCCGGGTCAGGTGTGGCCAGGCCCGGAGCAGCGGCTGCCAGGCTGGGAGCGGCCAGGCCCGGGGGAGCAGGCGGGTCGGGTGCGGCCAGGCCCGGAGCAGCGGCTGCCAGGCTGGGAGCGGCCAGGCCTGGAGCAGCAGCAGCCAAGTCCTGACCAACTAGGACGGGAGCGGCAGTGACCAGACCCGGAGCAGCTGGTTGTGGAACGAACCAGAGCAACAGAGGCCAGGCCCTGAGCAGCCAGGCCCAGAACAGCTCGCTCCTCACCTGCCCCTGCCCCACGGCTGCTTCTCAGAAATGGCTGGAAACTTTCGTGGGAACTTGAGGGTCTGCTAAATCAAGTGATGAAGGCTTAGATCTGGATGTGTGGAGTTAGTATAGGGCTGGGGAGTTGATCTGTGAGTGCCTTGGGTGGGGCCTGGATGAGGCTGGTGGACCTATTGGGAAATGTCTTTTGTGTGAAGTGTATCATTGGGCATGTGGAGGTATTATTGATTTGAGAAAATGCTAAGTAACTGATTCACTATCTGAAAATGGATTTACTATTGGGGAAAGGGAGGGAAGAAGAGACTGAACATAAACTGCACCTATGGATGAGGACAATGGGGGATGGGGAGGGGGCAGAGAGTGGGGTGGGAACCTGGTGGAGGGGGGAAGAAATGAGGAACCTTTGTAATAATATGAACAATAAAGATTGATTAAAACAAAATTAGCTCCTTTGAAACAGCTAAAAATATCAACAACCCAGTAGGAAAATGAAATAAAGACAGAGTTCCCAGAACAGCAAATATAAATGGCCTTTTAACAAATTACAAAAGGTTCTGTTGTGGGCGACCCGCGAATGACGACTACCAGTCAGCCAAATTGAAATTTAGGAAGCCTTTATTACGAACTCAAGTCCGGGTTCCCGTCTCAACTGACACAGCAGCGAGCAACGAGAGCCCCAACCCACTCCAAGCATGCTACTTTTATCCCCGTCTTAGGGATGCCTGGCAGATTAGGATTGGCTAAAAGTTTTAACAAAGAAAGGTCAGTTATAAATTATAGAAAAATTCCACTAGTACAGTAACATTTAAAGTTTATACAACACCTGGGGTGGGGGTTTATTTTCAGCTTAAGCAGTCTGTTTGACCTGATTTGGTCTGTTTGTTCTGCCTTGCCGCTACTGGAAACAGGATGTGCCTGCCTGGGGGTTGGCCTTGCAACAGAACTATTTTATGACTAACAGTTATGCTAAAGCATATATCATGCTACATTCTTTGTTGTGGGTCTGGTTGCTCGTTCCTTCCCTGGCCTGGAGCCCTGCCTTGACAGGGTCTTGCTGGCCATCTGGAGCCCTGCCTCAACCTGGGCTTGATGGCCACAACAGTTCAGCCTCACTACTGAAAAGATAGAAGGCAGGTTTTTCAAAACCTTAAAGGTCTCTTCTTATAGTTCATTTGAAAATCTAGGTTAGAGTTTTTTTGTACTTTTTGCTTAAAACCTGCCAAGGACTGCCCATGTATGCAGGTAGTTGTGTTTGTTATCAATGTGAAATTATTCTCCTGATCTGCTAACCATGTATATTTTTTCCCTTCCATCAAAATCAGTTTTGAGGATCTAGTGAAACTGAAGCATCTATTTCTGCCACTAGCTGTGCACTACTTCTCCTGCAGTGATTTATGCATGAGATTGTTCTGTTGCTCCCTAATATAAACTAACCTATCAGCTTTGACCCTCCCCATATGAGTGTGTCCTAGAACAAGGACAGAAAGAGGTTTCATAGTAGTGACTTTGAACATTACTCAGTTTGCCTCTTTAAACTTTCACATTTAACAAAGTTGGAAACAGCAGACTGGAGAGATTTTAAGGTGTGTTTCTGTGGGGGTTGGTGGGTGGGAATTAGCTGTCTGGGATGGGGTGGTAGTGACAGGGGCCAAGCAAGCTGTAAAGGAAGAGGGCCGGAAATAAAGCAACCATATCGAAGAACAACTGAACTCATGGTCTTTTTCTGTGGCCACAGGTTAGGCAGCCCCAAGCCCAAGCTGCTTGAGTTTCTCCTGGAGCCCCCGAAGCTGGCTTTGACCCCAGTTGATTTGGATCTGGAGACTGGCCATATCTACAGCCAGCTGCAGGCCTAGAGGAAGGGGAGAAATTGTCACCAAGTGAGATACATGACTTAATAGAATCTGGACATTCCCAGGGAATGGAAAGGCGCTAGGCCTCTATTATTCCTAAAACATTCCAGGCACACCCTTGCAATGGCTGCTCCAAACCTCACTGGACCCACACCCTTACTTTCTTCAGTTCTTTGCTAAAATGTCAACCTCCTCAAAAGACTTTTTTGAATACCTTCTATCACACAACAGGAACTAATAATCCACAGATCATTACACACTGTCTCATACTCTTATTTTCTTCCTTCTTTTCTCCATTACCACAGTCCCTCACTGCTCTCAACCTCCTTCCATCTGTTTTCTCTGCCTCCAACAGTATTCCAAACCCTGGATCCACCTTTAGGTGGCTTCTGCTTGATGCCTCTGCTGGAATGGCTGCTGCCAAGTCCTCTGGACCTCCATGCCAACCAGTGCACTGGTGAAACCTGACATCAGCCTACCTATCCAGCAGCAGAGCTGGCTGGCCACACATCTGATCAATTCCATCCAGAAAACACATACTCCCTTTGGCTTCTGGGATACCTCACCCTCTGGGTGTTACTTCTGCTTCACTACTGCTTCTCAGCCTTCTCTAATGATTCCCCACTTCTTCTTCACTTCCTGTCCACCTGCTGATTTTACTCCATCTTAGCTTTAATGCTACATGTGTCAGAAATTTGGGAATTTAAATACCAAAGTAATGTAGTGGGCTCTGGAATCTCTCTCTCCAGTTGAAGCCTTTTCCAATCTCCAGATGCATGTGTGCAACTGCCCACAGAATCTCCACCACACAGCATTAGGAACACAGTCATACCCTTTCAGCTGCTGCTCCGAATTCCCCCCACATCTGATGAGGGCAGCTCCATCCTCCCAGGATTCCTGGCTAGCCAGTGGGCTCATCCTTCACTCTTATCCTTCCCTTATTCCCAAATTGATTTGTCAGCAAATCCTGAGGGATTCTATAGCAAGATTTTAAGAAGCTAAGAAGATTCCAGGGCACGAGGAAACTGAAACAAGAAAATTAAACAAGGCCAAACATCTTGGGCAACTTGCAGCCAGTTTGCAGCAAGGTCTTATCTTTCCCTGCCAAGGACACTTGAGAACAAATGGTTAATACCTCACCTCCCTAATCAAAGAATGCAGGAAGGGACTGAGAGAGGAGGAGTTTATCTTGCCCACCAAACAAAGAAGTCAGTCATTGGGGGAAGGAGGAAAGGAGGGGGAGTTTTTCTTAAAAGTCAGAGAAAGTCAGTAGTCTTGGGGCTTGTCAAGATAAAATCGCCAGATGATTCTCATATAGTCTGGTAAAGCCAAAAAAAAAGTAAAAGGAAGACCTTGAGATCTAGTATGAACCAACCTCTACCTGCATCTTAAGCCTGGCTGCTCCTTGGTGCCTATTTAATACCTCTGCTCATCTGTATCCATGCAGAATCCATAGGATTCCTGGCAGGCTGCAAGTCTACCCCATTACTTCCAAAGTCCTCAACAGGGTCGATACAGCCCTCAAATTACTGGCCCAGAGCCCTCTAACCACAGCTCCTGGCTCTCTCTGCTGCACCAACTCTAGTCCACTGTCCTCTTCTCTGCAATGCCCCATACAATACTGCCTTTTCACCCTGGCAGACCCCTCTGCCTAAAACACTGTTCCCCCAGATCACCTTCAAAAAACAGCTCCCCCAGCCCATTCCTGTCCCAATTCATCTACCACACCCTATCTTATTTTTGCATAACAATTCTCACTACTTACTTATTTGCAGGTTGTCTTTCTCCCCTCAATAGTATAATGTTCTATTAGGAATATTTGTCCTTTCATTTCCTGCTATACCCCCAGCACCAATCATGAGGCCAGAACACTGCCAAGATGCTGTAAATGCTTTCAGAAAAAAACAGCAGGCATGCAACAAAAGTATGCAATGAAGAAAACCTACAAAATCCTTTGTATACTAATCCCAGCTCTGGCATTAGAGGGTCCGATTTTGGCTTAGAGCCACATGGTCAACTGGCAGGGTTCACTCACCCTCCTGGAAGCTGGCTTGGGCCTGCCGTAGACTATGTGGAACCAGGATTCCAAACCAGTTCAGAGGGTTTGGAGAGGCTGAGAAGGGCTCAGGCTCTGGAATCCTAGTAAGGCCCTTGCGCCTTCGCAGAGCTGGAGAAAGAAAGGGTAGAAGTGGGAGTCTTATTACCTGGCCCTTACCTTCTGGGTGACAATGTTGAACTCTGAGCTCATGATCCTGGAAAATAATGATGGCTGCAAAATCTTCCCAACCTTTGAAGAGCCAAAAAACAGCCTACCACAAAAAAGCACCGTTCCCCACTTGTGATTCAAATGTGAGACTGTACATAATTTCTCAAGACTCTCATAAAATCAACCCTTGTTTAGACAAAATCATACACTGACTGCTTTCAGCTATCCATTGTTTACACCAGTGGTTGGCAAACTGCGGCTTGCGAGCCACATGTGGCTCTTTGGCCCCTTGAGTATGGCTCTTCTACAACATACCACATGCAGGCTTACACATACAATGTGATTGAAACATCATGGCCTATGCAGAGAAGTCAGTTTTCAGCTCTCAAAAGAAATTTCAATCGTTATACTGTTGATATTTAACTGAGTTTGCCAACCACTAATCTACACTATCATGAAAGTACAAACAGGGAACCCAGAAGGCTGATGGACCTTGAGCTTTGGCAAGGGCTAAAAGCTATGCACCAATTGTTCTGTAGAGACAATAGTGGGTCAAACAATTTCCTGACCTAACAGTCTCAAAGTATACCTTTACTAATATTTACTGACCTTTAAGATAGTATGTCTGCTACCAGATTGCCTGCCTGCCTAAAAGCAAAATGTGTATTCTAAAATTGAATAAAAGCTAACAGGGCCTGTGTCCCAGTGAAGCCTTTCTACTAGAGAAGGGTTCTCTGCTGGCCCCCCATGATTTCCAAATTTATATTTCTTGTCTAGTCTCTTCATTTGTGCACAGCCCTTCACCAGATCCTGAACCCTAGCCATGCAGGTTGTAGCTTTCACAACTGACCTTTCCCATTTTGCCTGAACATGCTGAAAGGTCAGAAAGACCCTCCAACTCCCTGTTCTTTGTCTCTTGAATGACTAGCTGAGATTGAAAGTTTGTCCTTCTGAAAGAGATAAACTGACTGAGACTTCCTGTAACTGTAAAATAATCCCAACTATAAAAGACTTCACCTATTTCTCCCTTTAAAAGTCTAAGGCCAAACCTATTCTGCTGAGACATTTTGATCTTCATATTTAGGATGCTCTATCGAAACAACTTGAATAAAATCATCTCCTTAATTGTATTTTGTCTTTGACATCGGGAAGGGTCCCTGACGGGAAGGAGGGCTCACCTGCCTCACAGGGTCCCACCTCCTCTGGAATCTGGGAGCCAGATCTTACCACACGAAACTTCTGGAGTCCATTTTGCGCCTCGCTAAATAAAGAGAAGAGAAGATGGATCTTTGACAGCTCCACTCTGGAAATTCCCCACCAATCCGATTCAGCATACAAGGCTCCTCACTTGGTGCAGACGCAGACTTGGGGCTCCATGCAAGAGGCATATTGCAGGGGCCCTACCGACTTAGCACCCATGGCATAGCGAGCTTTGGAGAGCGAAAGCCAGCCCTGTGGGAAGAGAGGATCAGTAAAACTCGGTTTACCTCGACCTGAACGCCCTCCCGCTCCCCCCCACCCCACACCCCCTATCTTCCCACCCCCCACTCCCCACCCCAGGCTTCCACCTCCTCCACCCGGGCGTTCAGCGCCGCTCGCTTTGACTCCAGCTCTTCCAGGTCCCAGAGCAGCTGCAGGACCAGCGAGTCTAGTTCCGCCCGCAAATCGGCTGCCGCCATGGCCCAAAGCACTCTAATCTGGAGCCAGCCTCCTTCCAGGTCGCCCAATCACCGCTCACCGTGCCGATAGTGTACCAATGAACGTTGGGCCCCGAGTTCACGTAGTGGAAGCTGCAGTGGAAGCCGTGGGGTGGGGTCTCGGCTTCCAAGGGCAAGCGTCCGCAGAGCAGCAGCATTTAGGGACTGAGTAGTCGCTGTTTGCACTTACCATCCGAAGCGGATCAGCCAACCTGAAAGCTGGCGAGAACTGTGGGGTTCCAAGTCGCTTCGGGAAGCGGCTGCATTTTAAAAGTGGCGAAGGAAGGAGGCGTAGCAACCATTTTAAGGGAGAAACGGCTTTAGATTTAATTCCAAAAGGATTAAGCGATCTTTCGACCTATGGTTGTGCTGGTTTTACAGCTGCTGCACTATTTCAAGCCGCCAATGGCATGACTAGCGTTACATAATCTTAATTTAGGCATTCTTCATAGCCACGACAAATGGTGAAGCCAAGGGCAGACATCTTTATTAATGGCATCCCCAGGCCGCCTAACAATATCTTAACATTTCCTCTGCCTATTGGTTGCTCCAGTGAGCATGCGCTTGTAGGCTGGCCAATCGCCTTGTGATCCCTATCCATGGTTCGCCATCTTGACTTTGGTCAAACTTGACGGCAGCAGCGTTTAGTGAACCTCTAACCACCTTCTTGGTTGAGGGCGGAAACGAGAGCTGCTTAGTGCCCGCAGCTCTAGCAGATTCTTTGAGACGCACGTGGAAGCCACGCTCAAAATGGTATGGATGTTTGAGCTTCTTTTTGGAGGTTGGGGGTTTGCGGAGGGCTGGGGATAAGGTCTGTGGGCTCGGGATGGGTGGTCTCCCTGGTGCTAGGAGAAAGAGGGGCTAACCCGATACGCTGTTCCCTAGTTGCGCCGTGAGGCGCGCCTTCGCCGCGAGTACCTCTACCGCAAGGCCCGCGAGGAGGCGCAGCGCGCCGCCTCCGAGAGGAAAGAGAAGGTGCGGCGCGCGCTGGAAGGTATGGTCCCCGCTGCTCGGCGGCGTCACCCAGCCTTCAGAGAATCTGCGAGTTTGCATTTTAAAAAAGACCAACTGACTTAATTTCTTTGGTAGTATAGTTGGGCATCTTAAGTATTTACTGGTCACTTTTTTTGTCTGCGGGGTCTTTCTGTTGCTTGCAAATGCTCCTTCGTGTTATGGAATGAAATACTTGTCATTTATGCTACAGTATTGAGATTTTACAGTTTGCCTGTTAACTTTGCTTACAGTGTGTCTAGTTCTTCTCAAATTTAAAATTAATCTTATGGTCCTTGTAGAAGTTTCTCACCTCCACTCCCCGTACTAAAGCATATATTGCTACCTTTTAGTGGTATTATGAGTCCCTTGCATTTTTAAGCTGTTAATCCGTATATAATTTAATTTTATTTGCGTTGCAAATTAGGGTCTAATTTTGCATTGTTTCCCCCACTTTACATTTACCATACTAATGAAGAGTACTCAGTTGTGTTAGTTCTTGTGTTTGTGAAGCTTTGTTTCTTATTTGAACGTACATCAGTTCAGTATCTGATTATTTTAAATTCACTTTGATGTTCCTAGCTGTTAGATATAATGTGTGTGTATGTTTATATTAAGCATATTAAACAATTGTGAACTATCCACCCATCTTAAATGCAAAATGGTCAGTATACATGGGTTGGCAAAAGTAGGTTTACATTTGTTTGTATGGGAAGATATTAGGGGTTATTATTACAATAGCTTTATTAACTCAAAAAATGTCACGATGCAACTATAAACCTACTTTTGTCCACCCCTGTATGGAAATTCAGGAATATTTTCCACAACTTAGGTAACCACCGTATTGAATATTGTTTAAAAGTAAACTGTTTCCACTGAAACGGGTTTGGCTTGGTGGATAGAGCATCGGCCTGCGGACTGAAAGGTCCCGGGTTTGATTCTGGTCAAAGGCATGTAAAAGTAAACTGTTTCCTTGTTTGTGTATGTGCTTATATGGTACTTGTTTGTATCCGTAAATCATATTGGTTGATTTTTTTTAGTTTTAAAGGTAGTATTAAGTAATATGTATTCTTTGGCAGTTTTATGTTTTCAACATTGTTTCTAAAATACGTTGAGTATAGTAGAGATTTTCTTCATTGAGTATCTTCCATGTGCAAGAATTCCACCAGGGCCCACTAAGAAGTGCTGATTCCAGGGGCACAGTCATGATCAGCTCTACGCTTCCAAGATGGATGTTTCCACAGCTCAGGCCCTATGCCAGGTCAAGCTTTAGTTCACAGAGGGAACTTCTGATATAGAGCATCTTGATTAGCAGCTTTGTTATTAGGGTTTCAGGATTTCTGGTCCACCTTTATATGGAAAGAGTAGTCTAAAAACCTGCAAGCCATGAGACTCAGGGACTGTAGGAAAAAACTGTTTCCTATAACTATTGTTAACAGGTTAGCATGTAGACAGAAATAGTCTCCACCCTCTCACCCCCCAGTATCATCTCTGCCCAGAAAGGAGTAAGAAAGGTATTTTTCCCATCAGGTTTATAAGTCACAGTGTTGTATTAACTGAGACCTTCATATACATATCTCACTGATCCCTCTGTCTTTCCCCTGCAGAGAACCACCTGATCCCTACGGAGTTGCGTAGGGAGGCTTTGGCCTTACATGGTTCCCTGGAGTTTGACGACGCTGGTGGTGAAGGTGACCTTCCCCAACACTCTGGGCCAACTCCTCTTCGTGCACTGGGGCCCACTGGCCTCCATATCTTTCCTCAGACACCTTAAGGAAAGGTTCTGCGACTCCTATTCCTGGAACTGTGCCCCTGAGTCCTCATGGTTCTACACTGACGGCAACTCAGAGGAGCTCATCCTGAGTGCTCCCAATTCCATTTAGAGACACATGTGATACCACCCAATTTACTCTATGCTTTGCTTTGGTCCCCCTCACTGGAATGTTAATTCTGCTGGGACAGGACAGTGTCTATTATATTCACTGCCATTTCCCGAGCTCTCAGCACTTTATTGGCACACAGATGTTTTACTCATTGTGTTATTCAACATATATGAAAGGAATCACAAATGTAAATATTTGTTAGGAGAAATAGGAGCCTGTTATCTTTGACCTTATTATTATAGAATCTGTACTTAAGCTAACACAATAGCCACTAGCTCTGTGTGATTAATACAAATTAGATGAGTAAAATTAAAATCAAATTAGAAAATACAGTTTTGCATTAAACTTGTACTTATAGTCATTAAACTTGGTGCCACCCTATTGCCCAGTGTGGGTGTGGAGCATCCTATCACTGAAGATATTGTCAGATGGTACAGCTCTGAATGAATTTGGCCACTCCCCAAGATAATCTCATGTTCTTGCCCCTCCTGCATCTGACAGGTGTGACCAATCATGTGGATGATGAATATCGATGGGCAGGGGTTGAGGATCCCAAGGTCATGATCACTACTTCCCGAGACCCTAGTTCACGCCTCAAGATGTTTGCAAAGGTATCAAAAGAAGCAGGGAATGGAAGATGCTCAGGTACCTGTGGTCTGAGTCCTAACTAGTGTATGTGCACGTGCAGGAGCTGAAGTTGGTGTTTCCTGGTGCCCAGCGCATGAACCGTGGCCGACATGAGGTGGGGGCACTGGTGCGAGCCTGCAAAGTTAATGGTGTCACTGACCTGCTAGTTATCCATGAGCATCGAGGCACACCTGGTAAGGCTGGTGAGAGTGAGCAGGGTGTTTGCCGGGTTGGCCATCTAAGAGCAGACAGTCCCTGACAGCCTATCTGGCCCCATCAGTGGGGTTGATTGTCAGCCACCTGCCCTTTGGCCCTACTGCTTACTTCACACTATGCAATGTGCTTATGCGGCATGACATCCCCGACCTGGGCACCGTGTCAGAGGCTAAACCTCACCTCATCATTCATGGCTTCTCCTCCCGTCTGGGCAAGCGGGTGAGTCTGGGGTCATGGACTAGGGCTGGGGGCAGGCAGTGCCAGGCTGGGCATTCCCCAATCTTCTGCCCTTTGACCCAGGTCTCAGACATACTTCGTTACCTGTTCCCTGTGCCCAAAGAAGATAGTCATCGGGTCATCACCTTTGCAAACCAGAATGACTACATCTCCTTCCGGTGTGTCCATGGGCTGAATTCTGGGATTATATCCTGACCTTTGTGTCCCTGTACTATTGGTGGTTGAGCTATAGCTGCTCCTACCTCCTCTCACTCCTGCCCTGCCTCCCTTTGCCCCAGACACCATGTGTACAGGAAGACCAACCACCGCAATGTGGAGCTGACTGAGGTTGGCCCTCGCTTTGAGCTCAAGTGTGAGTTTGGACTTTATCTCAGGTCTGGTGGTGGGGAATGCTGGCTATATAATTGATAATGTCTCTGTTCCCTTCCACCAGTGTACATGATTCGCCTTGGCACGCTGGAACAGGAGGCCACAGCAGATGTGGAGTGGCGTTGGCATCCTTACACCAACACTGCACACAAGAGGGTCTTTCTAAGTGCTGAGTGATCCCATTCTGTTGTCAGGATAGGCTTGGACCCAGGAGGTGGGGGCAGTCAGAATAAAGTCTGTGTACCACACCACCCTATTTGCCTCTGTTTGGTTTGGACAGGCCCGATATCAGGGAAAGTGTGAAGGATGATGTCCATAGGGTCTTCTTAGCTGGGGACCTGACAGCTTGGGGATATTCTCAGGCCATTGTATCTAGGACAAAGCAGATTCAGCATATTGGCTTCTTGAGTCATTAGGATGATTTGGCATTGCCACTGGGAAAGTTGGAGCTGCTATTACTCGGGAGCTCATCATCTGGGAGGAAGGTAGGCATGGGTAGCAGGGCCTGACACATTTGCTCCAAGCAGGCGTGAGATTCAGGGAGCTGACAGGATGGGACCTAGTCAGTGCTTCCCAGGATTCCTCTGCCCGCGTCAGCACACAGGTATACTTTTCCATTTCACTTGGGACACAGTGATACTTTAGAGACTACCAACCTTGCAAACCTGCTCTCTTGTTAGGGAAGGGTTTATCTGAGATCAGGGCTGCTCAGGAGATGCTGGAATTTTTACTTGACCTCTCCACAGTAATTTGTTTTGTACTTCCTCTCTGCCTACTTCTCTGTTATGTATCCAGAGTCCTGGTGTCACACAAAATGGATGTCAAGATCCTACATAATGCACACAAGTTGAGATGAAGGGGAATGATAACAGTAAGAAAGAAATCTATCATGTCAGGTAGGAACAGGGCTATGAAGAACAAAGTCAGGCGGGGAGATGGAGAGGGAAAGGCTTCTGCAGGTGACCTGAGATCTACATGATGATATGAAACAGCAGGGGCCACTTAGATGGCCCATGCAGACTCTTAGGTAGACAGTCCTCAAAAGCTTCTTAGGAACAGGAGCAGCCAGTCTTGACCCCCTCAGAGGGGTCTTGAGGGAGAGCAGAGGACCCATAGGACCAAATGGGCCATGGCATTCAGGGAGAGCAGAAGATGGGACAACACTGGATGTCCATAATTCTAATTCAACTCAATAGTTCAGTTCCTCCTTCAGGGCCTTTCTGGAGCCTCACAGCTTGCCACAGGCTCACATCACAAATGAAGAATATGCTATTAAAATTTTTTTGCAAGTTATGGAGATTTTAAAATATCTGCAAGAAGAGTAGTATGATCTGTGTTGGTTTCCTGGGGCTACCATAACAAATTACCATAAACTGAGTGGCTTAAAACAAACTGAATATTTGTTTATACTTCAGGAAGGTGGATGTAGAAGATGAAGATGTGGACTTTGCCCACAAATCTCCATTCCTTACCCCTTTCAGCTTCTGATGGCTGCCAACAATTCTTGGTGCTCCTTGGCTTGTAACTACATCATGTTCTGCCTGTGTCTTCATATGACCTTGTACTATCTATAGCCTCTATTGCAAGGACACTTCATTATATTTATGGTCCATCATAAATTCAGGATGATCTCTTCATTTCAAGATTCTGAACTTAATCACATATGCAAACACCTTCACTCCCTGCCCCACCCTCCCAATAAGCTCACATTCATAGGCTCCAAGAATTAGGTGGCTGCCCTTACTGACTTGGAGTGTGGTCCCAGTGAATGTTTTCCCCAGCAAATATCACTTAGTAACTGGTATTTTGTTTTTTAATAACATGAGTACAGAAGTTTCACTTATAGCAGGGTTTGGTACTGGAAGCTAGCTGTCGCCAGGGACAGGCAGAAATAAGCACAATACAAGCCATTTATTATTCACTTATGGCCTCCATTGTGTTAAAAGAACCATTTAAGTATTTCATTCAAGTTCCTCAGAGAATCCAATGCATCAGGCTCACACGCAGTGGCAAGTTTCATGAAAGACACTTGTCTCCATTTTGCTTATTGGCTGTGTTAAGCCACTGGAGTCAGATGGTATTTAATGTGGTGACACCTGAAATGATCCTTCCTACTGTGCTGGTGGAAACCTGTGGGTAAAGGCTTGGCAGATGGCAGTCTGATAGGATTTTATTTTTTTAATTTTAGTTTAATTTTTTTTTAATTTATTGGTTCACAAAACCATAAGGTTTCAAATGTACATAACATCTGCATCCTGCATTGACTGCCTGTTGCACCAAAGTGTCTTTTTGTCCCCACTCTCCCCTTTGTCCATCTTTTCCTTCCCACTCTTTCTGGCTACACTGTTATCTGTGTTTTGGGGGATTTTTTTGCAATGCTTTCACCTTTCATTTAGCCCCCAATCACCCTCTCCTCAGACAACTGTCAGTCTGTTCCATGTATTTGTTTTTCAGTTTCTGGCTGCCAACTGCCTGCCTTCCTGATTGCTCCTAACCGCTTCTGCCTGCCAGCCTGATTGATGTCTAACCGCCCCTGCAAGCCTCTTTGCCCCCAACTTCCTTCCTCTGCCGGCCTGGCCACCCGTAACTGCTCTCCCCTCAGGGTTGATCACCTCCAACTGTCCTTCCTTGTAGACCTGGTCCCCCCGCCCCAACTGCCCTCCCTTGCTGGCCATCTTGTGATGGCCATCTTATGTCCACATAGGGGCAGGATCTTGTGTGTTGGAGCGATGATCAATCTGCATATTTTATTAGTTGGGATATGCACATTAAAAGGAAACCACTATATGGGAGAACATAATTGCCAATAATACAACTGATTAATTCTCAAAATATAAAATAACTTATACTACTCAACACTAGGAAGATAAACAATCCAATTTAAAAAATGGGCAAAAGACCTGAATAGACACTTCTCTAAAGAGGATATAAATGGCCAATAAACATGAAAAAATGCTCTTTGTCAATCATCAGATGCAAATTAAAACCAGAATGAGTAATCACCTCATGCCTTTCAGAATGGCTATCATCAATAAATGAACTAACAAGTGCTGGTGAGAACGTGGAGAAAAGGGAACCACTGTGTACCATTGGTGGGAATGCAGACTGATGCAGTTACTGGAAAATAGTATAGAGTTTCTTTAAATTAAAAATGGACCTACATTTTGACCCAGAAATCCCACTTCTGGGAATATATCCGAAGAAACTTGAAACATTAAGCCAAAAGAATACATGTACTTACTCATGTTCATTGAAGCATTATTTACACTAGGTGCCTAGTGAACAAATTCATGCACCTTGAAAGGAACTATGGGGCTAGGAGGCTGCGGTGGACAAACGGCGGGAGGGGGAGAGGGGGGTTTTGGCCCATCCTCAGTGGATGCAAGCAGCGGCTGACAGCCCCAGTCCCCAGAAGCCTCAGGGCTTCTCCACCTCCCTCTGCTCCTCCGGAGATAGGGGCCAGTAGCCGCTTCTCACACCCACTGCTGGTGCTCAGTACTTGTGTGAGCAGGGCTGGCACTATCAGCATGTGGGAGCAATGGAGGCAGAAGTGGGGCTGCTGGGGGCCACAACTTGAGGGGCCAGGCAAGGGCACAGAGGATGGGCCAAGACTCGCCCCTGTGCCCACCGTAGCCTCGCATCCCACAGTTCTTTTCAAGGTTCACAAATTCATGCACTGGGCCCCTAGTCTATAAAAGCCCAGCGACCTGAACGGCAGAAGGACCAGGACAACTGATGGCTATGATGCACATGGTGGCAGCCAACCAGCCTAATCTGGGCCCCAATCAGCCTCCCCCCCATCCCTGGGTAGGGCCACCATTGGCCCACCTCCAACCCAAGGGGAGGTGGGGCTGGCTGACCAACTAACTGCGACCCCTACCCCCAGCTGGCCCTGTCCCCGATTGGCCCCCAACATCCTGATTGGTCCGGCCAGAACCCATCTATGCAGGAATTCATGAAATGGGCTTCTAGTGTTGAATAAGAGTGGTAAAAGCAGACATCCCTTTACATTCCTGATCTTTAGAGAAACACTTATTTTTTGCCCATTGAGTCTGATGTTGGCTATGGGTTTGTCAGATATGGCCTTTATTATGTTGAGGTATGATCCTACAATTCCCACTTTGCTGAAAGTTTGTATCATAAATGGTTGCTAAATTTTATCAAATGCTTTATCTGTATCTGTTGGTATGACCATGAGAGTTTTATTTTTTTTGTTTATGTGACCTATCACATTTATTGATTTGTGGATAATCCAGCAATCTTGCATCCCTGGAATAAATCTCTCCTAATCATGATATATGATCTTTTTAATGTATTGCTGGATCTGGTTTGCTAATATTTTGTTGAGAATTTTACATCCTCTGTTCATTAGAGAGATTGGCCTATAATTTTCTTTGTAGTGACTTTATCTGGTTTTATAATTAGACTAATGCTGGCCACATAAGGAAAGCTTGAAAATTTTCCCTCCTCTTGATTTTTTGAAATAGTTTGAAAAGGAGGGGTATTAATTCTTCTTTGAATATTTGGTAAAATTCACCTGAGAAGATATCCATTCCAGGAATTTTGTTTGTGGGAGGGTTTTTGTGTGTGTGTGTGTGTTTGTTTGTTTGTTTGTTTTGTTTTGTTTTATTATTATTCACTTCATTAGTTGTTATTTTTCTATTCAGGTTTTCTAATTCTTCCTGAAATAGTTTTGGAAGATTATATGTTTCTAGGAATTTATCCATTTGTGCAGGGTGTCCACTTTGTTGGCATAGAAGTCTATTTTCTTACAATCCTTTGTATTTTTGTGGTGTCAGTTGTTATTTCTCTTTTCTGATTTTATTTATTTGGGTCATGTTTTGTTTTGTTTTTCTTGATCATTCTGGTTAATGGTTTGTCAAACTTATCTTTTCAAAGAACCAGTTCTTGATTTCATTGATCTTTTGTTTTTTAGTTTTTTAGTCTCTTATGGCATTTCTTTCCCTTCTAATCTTTATTTCCTTCTTTCTACTTATACTGGGTTTTATTATTCCATTTCTAGTTCTTTTAGGTAAAGGGATAGATTTGTTATTTGAGATTGTTCTTGCTTCTTGAAGTTGGTCATAATGCTACCAATTTATCTTTCGAGATTGCTTTTGCTGTGTCTCATAGATTTTGGGTTGTTGTGTGTTCGTTCTCATTTGTTCCCAGGAAGT